CCCCATTTCCATCCCCCAGAGCACACAGACCCCCATTTCCATCCCCCAGAGCACACAGACCCCATTTCCATCCCCCAGAGCACACAGACCCCATTTCCATCCCCCAGAGCACACAGACCCCATTTCCATCCCCCAGAAGGGCAGTGGAGACCCCTTTCCATCATCCCGTACAGGGAAAAACCCCTCCTCCATTCCCCAAGCTCCAGAGACTCCCCCACCTTCACTCCCCATACTTTGGAGACCCCCAAATCCAAGAGAGACCCCCCAGGACACCAAAGCCCCCCACCCTTCCCATGTTTTTGCTGCTCCAGGGCAGGTGCAGCCCCATCCTCGGCCTCCCTGGAGCTCCTGGTGTTGGCACCGAGCCCCCAGCACAGGCATTAAATGAACAATCAGCCAGAAATGGTGAATTTATTTCGAGATAAACCTGAACCCCAAACCCTGGGAGCTCCTGCAGGCACCACATCCATGCTGACTTTGGGAAGCCTTGAGGGGAGAGAGCAGGGAGGAGGATCAGGGGTTAAAAATTCCTCAAGGATCAGGGACACAGAGCCCCAGATTGTCCCCTCATGTCACTGCCCTGGCCCTGTTTGGGGTGGGTGATGAACGAGGTGTCCAACCTGCTGGACTTTATCACCCGTGGGGCAGGAGGAACAGTCCAGAGCCCACGGGAAAGGAGATTCCAGGGGAGCATTCCAACATTTTTGTTGGTTTTAGGGATGGCATGGGAACATTCCAGAGTTTTTGTTGGTTTTAGGGATGCCAGGGGGTCATTCCAAGAGTTTTTGTTGGTTCTAGGGTTGTCAATCAAGCATTTCATAGTTTTTGTTTGGTTTGGTGTTGCCAGGGGAGCATCCAACCATTTCTGCTGGTTCTAGGGTTGCCAGGGGATCATTCCACTGTTTTTTATCAGTTCTAGGGTTGCCAGGGGATCATTCCACTGTTTTTTATCAGTTCTAGGGTTGCCAGGGGAATGTTCCACTGTTTTTTATCAGTTCTAGGGTTGCCAGGGGAATGTTCCACTGTTTTTTATCAGTTCTAGGGTTGCCATGGGAATGTTCCACTGTTTTTTATCAGTTCTAGGGTTGCCATGGGATCATTCCACTGTTTCTGTTCCTTCTGGGCTTGCCAGGGAAGAATTCCACCATTTTTGGTGGTTCTAGGCTTGCCAGGTGAGCATTTTGTCAGTTCTAGGGTTGCAAATCAATCCACTCTTTCTGTTGGTTCTAGGATTGCCAGGAGAGAATTCCATTATTTTGTTGGTTCTAGGACTGCCATGAAAGCATTCCACCGTTTTCAGCGGTTCTAGGGTTACCAGGGACAATTCCCTGTATTTGTTGGTAATGTTTGGGGATCTCAGAGACAAATTCCCTGCCCCTCCAGATGGGGATTCATCCCTGGGAGCCTCATGCTGCCTGAGGTCTGGAGGGATAAATGTAAGATTCCATGGAAGCTCCCTCTTCAGTACAGGGCACCCCAAACATCCTTTTTGTTGGGAATTTGGAATGTTCTGGGGCAGAAAGCAAAGTTTTCCTGATTCTGGTGGGGAGTGTGGGATAATTAGCAGGGAATTGCTTTTGAACTGTGTTTGCACACGTGGTCATTGCCAAAAACCCAGGTTGGGAACAACATCCTGCAGCAGTGACAGGACAGGTGGAACTCAGGTGGAACTCAGGTGGAACTCAGGTGTAACTCAGGTGGAACTCAGTGTTTGTGTCCTGCAGGGAATGAATTCCTCGATTTTCCTCACCTTCCCCAGCACATTTGGCTGATTTGTTTCCTTTCCAAATGAGAACTTCTCTTCTTGCAGGGAGAACAGGAACCCTCACACCTCCTGGGCAGCGCACCCGAGGGCGACCTGGTGAGGTAAGAGGGGAGCTGAAGGTTTGGGAAGATTATAAAACCGATGGAAGTTCTGGAAAAGCCAAAAATGAGCTCCAGGACCTTCAGCAAAAGAAAGCAAGGGAGACCAAAAGTGCAGCTGAGAGGGATTGGGAGCTCTGTGTCCTCCTCACACGGGTGAGGTGATGAACAGAGCTCATCCCACACAAGCAGTGACAACTCTGGTGCCTGAATTTGGGGGGTCACAGGGGTCTCCTGCCCTGGCACAGCGTGTCCCTGAACCTGTGGCACTCTGGGGTTCTCAGCAGGAGAACACCAAGGACCTGCTCCTGAGCCCTTCCATGCTCATCTTTAAGGGAAGAGGAGCTCCAACCCTTCCCAGAGGAGCCAAGCTGGAACGGCAGTTTTATTGCTGCCCGTCCCAAAATGCAAATGAAGATATTTCATTCTCCATTTGCTGAAGGCAGAAGTGATCTCTGCACAATCTGCCCTTTCTCCCCTCATTCCTACCAAACTTTCCTTTGGGTGTGTCCCACTTGCTGCCCACATATTTCCTCTTTTTCTCCATAATCTTCTGGCCCTTTCCCCCTGGATGTGATGGAAATGACAATTTTGCCACGATGAACACGGGGGCAGAACTTCCAGCACCAGCAGGGCCTGGTTTTCCAAACAGGCTGAGCTCCAGCATTTGCACAGACACCACAAGAAGAAAAATAAGGCCAGTGTTGGAGATGGACTGGTTTTCCACTGGAGACCAGAAATGCAGTTAATGGGAGAGCACCCTGGGATTGGCAGGTGTGCGGAGAGCATGGAGTCATGGAATGGTTTGGGTCAGGAGGGACCTTAAAACTTGTCCTGTCCCACCCCTGCCATGGCAGGGTCACCTTCCCCTACCCCAGGGTGCTCCAAGCCCTGTCCAGCCTGGCCTTGGATACTTCCAGGGATGGGGCATCCATGGAATAATCTGTGCCAGAGCCTCCCCACCCTCGCAAGGAACGATTTCTTCCCAATATCCCATCTAACCCTGCCCTCTGGCAGTTTAAAACCATTTCAGAGTACAAAGGTCCAGGTGGGGAGCACTGAGCTACCCAAATTTACCAAGGTGGACATTTAGATCAGAGATCTACACTTCTTTGGCCACACATTAAAAAAGTGATTTCATTTGTGACAGGAAACACCACCAGAAGGTCCTGACCCCTGCTGGGCCCTACTGGAGAGCACAGAACTTCCCTTAGGAGGAAGGTATCAAAAATGGGGCAGTAGTGGGGTTAAAACACCTGCTTGGAGGAGATACCAAAGGGAATGAGGGAAGGGGGAGATGATGGAGGAGAAATGCCTGCAGAAGGGAGAACAGGGATGTTACATCCATCAGCCCTGCCGGGAAAAGTCATTCCCTCCCCATGCAAACCCTCAGGGGTGTCATAAATGCAATGGATGGGGACTGGGAGGGGAAATGGCACTAAAATAAAAGAGACACCTGCCTGGAGATCATCTCTGCCGGGACTCGAACCCGGAACCTCTGGATTAGAAGTCCAGCGCGCTCGTCCATTGCGCCACAGAGACCTCACCGTGAGGGGAGCGTCGGCTCCAGAACTGAAAAATCCACAGCGCCGCAGGGTCCGGCACCCACCGGCACCTCCCCGGCACGGCAGCACCTCCAGCATCCCCTCCCTGCGCAGGGACACGGCAGGAATAATCCCAGGGATGATCCATATCTCGTCTGGCAGCGGGGATGCAGCAAAAACCTGGATGCAGGCTGGTATCCGCCTCTCTGGCAACCTTTCCGCAGCATCCCCGGCGCTCGGCTGCGGGCAGAGCTAAATCCTGGAGCAGAGTTCATCGCTGCATCTCCCTCAGCATCAGCATCACGGCGTCCTCCTCGCTGCAGAAGCCAAGGGATAAAGATGAAAGAGGATTTAGCTGAGAGCACTGACAATGGTGAGGGGAGCTCTGCTTGTCGGGGTGAAAAAAGCGCCGAGAACCTGAGGTTTGAGCAGAGAAAAGAAAGGAAAAGCAGCTACTGTGGGTTTCCTTTCAGCAAGCTGTCAATCAGGGGTTTAATGAAGAAACATTGTGCCTCTTCTGTTGGGGAAAAAAATGGAGACCATGTCAAAACAACAGGAAAGGTCCATTTACAACCACTGACCTATTAACAATTGATCCAACTCTGTCACGGAGTCCTGGCTGGGAATGGGCGCATTTGGAATCCCACAAATTTCAGGCTGCTGTTCACTCCCAAACAAGCCATCATTTCCTGTGAAAGGGGAGATCTTAAGTGCAATCCAAGAAGAGGAATTCCCTGACACAGGGAGTTTTTGCCTCAAGGTCAGTGTGACCTGAAGGTCCAACCTCAGGCAGCTCATGTGGGCAGAGAACAGCCCAGAGCAGGAATAAAACAAGAGAAGATTCCACCCCATGGAACCATGGTCAGAACCTCAGAATTGAGGATAAACCCCCTCAAACACCCGGGTTTAGATGATGAAGATCACACCACCAGCACGGGACAAGCTCCTGCTGCACCCCTGCTTTCCTCAGCACCTGTCCCTCCTGCCTCAGGCTGGGCCACCTCTGTGCTCATGGCTAAAATCCCAGAGAATCAGTCCTGGGCCAAATCCCTGCCTCCCTCCTGGGCTGGAAAAGACCTGACCTCTGCCCAAACTGAGCTGTGAAGTTGTGTGGTGCTGAAGAGAAGAGGCACAGCACTGACAACCTCGGCACACCTAATGCAAACCCAAAGGATTTGGTTTTCCTTTCACTCGTGGAAGGCTTTATGGTTGTCTTGACAAGTAAAATCCAACTTGGAACGGTGGGAAAGAAGGCAGAGGTTGAACTTCTATCAGCAAAACCCTTCCTGCTGCAAAAGATAACCCAGTAAATTGATAATCCTTGAAATAAATCCCTCTGTGAACCAACTGTGATCACACTGGGACCTGGAGAAAACTCAAAGTCTAGAACACCCATCTGCAGGGTGACCAAAGGCAGTGCTTAAAAAAGTCACAGAAAAAATCTTAGACAAAGGTATAAAGCTCTAAAGGATGAGAAAAATCTCCCACAGCCTGTGACTATGTGCTCCTCCCGGGGGATGAAGACACCAGCTTTCAATATGATTTTGGGAGGCTGCACCTCAAAAGTGCCTGCTTTGAAGGCACCAGCAAGCAGAAAATCTGGAGATGATTAATTAAATAGCACAAAACTCTCAGAAGAATGACTGTGGCTTTATGGGCAGGCACATCCCTGGAATCAGAGGTTTGAAGGAAGCCTCGTTCCTCCTGCCTGGAGCTCCCCTTTGGTGCTAATTGCACCAAACCCCAGAAAGAACCAGGATTTTGAACATGTCCTGATGAAAATGCCACATTTCTGTCAGGGGAAAGTGTGGGGAGAACCAGGGGCTGCAGGGCTGTGCCAGAGGAGCAGCAGCACCGCCAGGAGAGCACCAGAGCCTCATCCTCATCCCAAGACACAGCTCTGGGGACACCTGCCAGGTGTTTCTGTACCTTCAATAACCCCGTCAGTCTCCCCTGAGGTCCCAACTGTCCCTCTGCTCCTTCCAGATGTGCCAAATTTGGGAAGCAGAGACTGGAGGGAGAGCAGCACAGGCACCACCAGGTTGTTTTTGGTGCTGGGGGAGGCCAGTGCATCCCATTCTGTGCCCCCAGCACACAGAAATGTGTCAGGAGTGAAAAAGCTGCCAACTGTCCCCCAGCTCACCTCCCAGCCACAAATCATTTCCCAGACAGCAAGAACATGAGCCACGAGCAAGGATGCAGTGGCCCAGAGTGAACCCAGAGAATTTACCACCTAATAAACAGCTGGGAAAGGCCTTTGGGAAGACAAAACTCTGAGCAATTTGATGACTGATGGAGCCTTCAGATCCACCTCACCTAAAGCTGCTCCAGGGCAGCAGCACCGGTGCTGAGAGATCCTGAAATCCTTTGCACACCGAAAGAAACAGCAACAGAAAATCCCTACCGGAGCTGAGACTGCTTTGTGGTATCCAGAGAAAGGTTTTACAGTACAGCTGTAAATACAGCCACAAGGTTTTATTGCTACAACCACCCAATTCCCCAATAAAACCTTCTCCAAGAGCCACCAAGAGCCAGAGCCACGAGGGTAAAGCTGTGTGGCTCGAGGCCAAAAATCCACTAACACACGTGTGATGGTGCAGGCTCTTCCCCAAATCCTTACAACAGCTACATTCTTATTTTTTCCTAAATTTGTAATCCTTTTTTTCTTCCTTTGCAAGCCATTTTTAGCAGCACCCACAAGCCAGGTGTCTTGCTCTTTGTTTGACCATCATATCACACTTATTTTCAAACTCTCCAGTGTCTGAGGCTTGCTTATTTTATAGGACTGGGTTCATCTAAAAATCACTTATCAGGAACTCCTGCATTTTGCTCCCCTGAAATGATCACATGAGGCACAGCCACAATTTTGGGAGGTTTTGCCATCAGTGCCATGGGTTGGCATCGGTGGCTGTGCCAAACTTGCAGAATAAGTGGCTGTTTTCCCACCTTTTTACTACTTATCGAAGCTTTTAGTTAAAATACAGCGTGTGGACTTTTGAAAAGAGACTAAAGTGCCGCATACAAATGATTTGCTTGTGTTTTGCTGGACATCAATCCCCAGAGGGGATGTTTTTACATCCCAGGTTGAATCAAAAAGCATCAGGAATAAAAGGAGTGGAGAGAGGCTGATGTACCTGGGGAGAACACTGGATCTCAGCCACAAACTTATTATTAACTAAACTTATAAATTAAGTTATTAACTAAAATTATACACGGCCACTGACCACAGGGATGATCACAGGGATGATCACAGGGATGGTTGGGGTGGGAAGGGATCCAGGATGACCCAAGGGATGCTTTCCACTACCCCAGGTTGCTCCAAGCTGGCCCTGGACACTTCCAGGGATGTGGCAGCCATGGAATAATCTGTGCCAGGTTATTCCCAGGGAGGAATTTCTTCCCCAAAATCCCACCTGAACCTCCCCTCCTTCAGCTCAAACTTTGTCCCACACTCCGCTCCCCTTCCCAAAGTCCCTCTCCTGGGCTCTCGGAGCCCCTTTAGGCGCTGGGAATAAAATCCTTCCATCCCTGCCACCTCCTGCCCTCGCTATTCCAGCTCTCTCCAGTTTTCCTGGAAAAATTCCCCTCACTCCAGGGGATTTTCGCTTCCCCCCGGGCCTTGTCCCGCGCAGGCCGCGCCTCACCCCGAGGGCTCGCTGCTCTCTGCCGGAGCCTTCCCGGTGTTTGTTCTCCTTCCTTCCCGGTGTTTGTTCTCCTTCCTTCCCGGTGTTTGTTCTCCTTCCTTCCCGGTGTTTGTTCTCCTTCCTTCCCGGTGTTTGTTCCCCGGTATTTCCCGGGAATCCCGGTGCTCCCCGGTGTTTGTCCCCCGTTGTTTCCCGGGGTTTGTTCCCGTTG